CAAACGAAATTTTTGAGAAGTGTTCTAAAAGATTGTGTATAATTACTACAATCATTTTGACTCCCCCTCATGGACTTTGTTTACCTTAAAACGATATAGTTGAATTTGTAATGTGGTTTATAGACAAGCGAACTGATTTGATCCAAAAATGATAAATAAACAAGATTTAAAATAAGAATTAGCGATTAAAATTAAAGAAAATGACAAGCTTGGTTGCGAGAGCAAGGCCTCCGAGAACAGAAATAAGAACAATGTAAAAGAGTTGATTGAGCATAAGAATGGAATATAACATAAGTTTTGTCAAGGCTTTCGTGTTTTATAATGGCTATTGAGCCTACTATTTATAGCTATACCTAAGGAAGCAACATCTTAGGATCAAGCCTCCTCTTAAATGACAATAAAGGGGCATTGATGAATATGTAACGACACGCTATAAATGCAAATATTCTCTGCAACGGTTGCTCATTTAATGCCAGGGAATATTGTTCATCGAATGTTATCCGATGACAAGCATTTTGATCTGCCCACGTTGGCCATGCTCCCTTCGGGATCTATCCGATGCCAATTGTAGTTGTTCCCGATACTGATTGTTACTTAATTTGCTCTCTACTTATCTCTGACTTCACATGTCACGCTATCATTCGATCATTTATTATAAATCAATTTTATCCCATACATACTTGCCGACCTAGACATCTAAAGAATTAAATTGAGATACAAAGGAAAGAATATCAAATATCTAAAGTTGGAAGTAGAATATGATTTTTAACAGAAAGTTAGAGAAAAATAATAATTCTGACCTATTTAAAAAGTCTCATAAAACATATTTTCAGGACAAAAGTTGGAAATTAATTTTGGTCCATTGACGCCCCCTCATGAGGTATTCTTAAATTATCTATCATGTTTCTTTTTTACACGTCCCTTAAAAAATATCCTTATTTATATTTTAAAATATAATTTCTCTTTATTAAATATTTATTCTATTTATATGTTATCTCCATCTTTAAAAATAATTATTATTAAAGGTAAAATGAGAAAAATATAGTTTATTTTGTCTTGAACTTTTAAAAAAAAAATTAAAAATAATTATTTTTAGAAAGCAGATAAACAATTTGAGAGGGAGCAAGTAAATATCAACCCAATTTGCGGGACCCTTTAGCATAAGCAATAGTCACACGGCTATCTCGAGAATCTAAATTTTAATAAGTAGTATGTTATTTTGACCCAAAAAATCGCCGAAAGCTATTAACGGGTCAATTTTCTTTTTATTAATTAAAATAATAGAGTAGTATTATATACTGTACTAAAAATTTAACAACTTTATTCTGTGGTGACTCAAATCCTTCTATCACTATCACCATAAGGTAAAGAAATAACCAATTAGATTCTGCGGTGAGAGAGCCACTCTCACCACACGTCGGTTTTGCCCTACGGTATTTTCACTCCACACACAAACCCCATATAAGCACTAAAACCTAGCTCAGCCTCTTTGGCTATTCACATAGCCCCCCACTTGCTTTTCCTTCTGTCCTCCTTTTTTCCACCGCCCATGGCCGCCACCGTCTCCACCGCCTCTGCCGCCGCCACCAATAAATCTCCTCTTTCGCAGCCCCTCGACAAACCCTTTTGCTCCCCATCTCAAAAGCTCTTATCTTTATCCCCTAAAACCCTCCCAAAACCCTATAGAACTCTCGTCACCGCATCTTCCAAAAACCCCTTAAACGACGTCGTTTCGTTTAAGAAATCAGCTGACAATACATTGGACTCGTATTTTGACGATGAAGACAAACCCCGTGAAGAGTGTNTTAAACGACGTCATTTCGTTTAAGAAATCAGCTGACAATACCTTGGACTCCTATTTTGACGATGACGATAAACCCCGTGAAGAGTGTGGCGTTGTGGGCATCTATGGCGACTCAGAAGCTTCACGCCTTTGCTATTTAGCACTTCACGCGCTTCAACACCGTGGCCAAGAAGGCGCCGGCATTGTCGCCGTTAACGACGACGTTCTTAAGTCAATTACAGGTGTTGGGTTAGTATCCGACGTGTTCAATGAGTCAAAGCTTGACCAACTCCCTGGTGACATGGCAATTGGCCACGTAAGGTACTCTACTGCTGGCTCTTCTATGTTAAAAAATGTTCAGCCTTTTGTTGCTAGTTATAAATTTGGGTCAGTTGGTGTTGCCCATAATGGTAATTTAGTGAATTATAAGTTACTGCGTGGTGAACTAGAAGAGAATGGGTCAATTTTTAATACGAGTTCTGATACTGAAGTGGTACTTCACCTTATTGCTATATCGAAAGCTAGGCCTTTTTTATTGAGGATTGTTGAGGCTTGTGAAAAAATTGAAGGTGCTTATTCTATGGTGTTTGTTACTGAGGATAAGTTGGTTGCCGTAAGGGATCCTCATGGGTTTAGGCCATTGGTTATGGGTAGGAGAAGTAATGGTGCTGTTGTTTTTGCGTCGGAGACGTGTGCTTTGGATTTGATTGAGGCTACTTATGAGAGGGAGGTGAATCCTGGTGAGGTTGTTGTTGTGGATAAAGATGGGGTTCATTCTATTTGTTTGATGCCTCATCCCGAGCATAAATCTTGTATCTTTGAGCATATTTACTTTGCTCTGCCTAATTCGGTCGTGTTTGGGAGGTCTGTGTACGAGTCTAGGCGTGCTTTTGGAGAGATTCTTGCGACTGAAGCTCCCGTGGAATGTGATGTTGTGATAGCAGTTCCTGATTCGGGTGTCGTGGCTGCGCTCGGTTATGCTGCTAAAGCGGGGGTACCGTTTCAACAAGGTTTGATAAGGTCGCATTATGTTGGTAGGACATTTATCGAGCCGTCGCAGAAGATAAGGGATTTCGGGGTGAAGCTTAAGTTGTCACCAGTTAGGGCAGTATTGGAGGGGAAAAGGGTTGTGGTCGTGGACGATTCAATCGTTAGAGGGACGACCTCGTCCAAGATTGTGAGGTTGTTGAAGGAGGCGGGTGCGAAAGAGGTTCATATGAGGATTGCAAGCCCACCAATTATAGCTTCTTGTTATTATGGAGTGGATACTCCTAGTTCAGATGAGCTGATATCAAATAGGATGAGTGTGGAGGAGATTAAGGAGTTCATTGGATCGGATTCGCTTGCTTTTCTGCCAATGGATAGCTTGAATAAGTTGTTAGGCAATGATTCTAGAAGCTTTTGCTATGCTTGCTTTTCGGGCAATTACCCGGTCGAGCCGACGGGTAAGGTTAAAAGGATTGGGGATTTCATGGATGATGGATTAAGTGGAGATATGGATTCCATTGATGGTGGTTGGCTACCAGGAAGTAGTAGGGTTCAAAAGACTATCTTGAATGAAGTTAGAACCGGCTAAACTTTCTTTTCCATGTTTGCTTTAGTTTTTGCTTTGGATTTCTAATGCTTGACTATAGAAATTATAAGTTTCAATGAAGTCTCTTTTTCTATTTGGGATGCCATATGAGTCCACTGATTTAATTTTCGTATTATGATTCTTACATTATATATGTTCAATAGGGCTTGTCCACAAATCAAAGGACCACTAAGGGTATAATGAACTGTCATATAATTTTGGGTGTCAATCAAAATATCCTTTTGTTCTTTCAACAGTAAGGCAACAAATCTTTAAGAGGGCACTCAGAAGTCCTAGAAAATATTATTATGCATGATATGATTATGTCATATCCACTTGGTTAAAAGCATCAAATGCATACATAAGCTGCTGCTCCCTAGATAGAAAAATAAACCAGATAAAGCACTTTGTTTTGGAGTCGTCTATCCTTTAGAGATTGAAAGCGGAGTTGAGAATCATAAAACAAAGTGAAACGAATAAGAAAATCAATAAAATTATTTGACAGATACAATAACAGGATTATAGCAATAGCTGACCAATATCATTCTCCAGTCAAGTTACTGCTTCTCGCTGCTATTTGAAAGTTGTCAGTGCATCAGCAACAGCATTTTCCAACTTAATCTGCCCAAATTTTAAAGCAAAGTTACTTTTGATACTAATTTAGACAAAATTAAAAATGAACCAATCCAAGAATGCACCTTTATCTCCAGTAAGAGCTTGTGCCAACTCTGCCTTAACATATACCTTCATTTTGGCCATTGAACAAATTTATTTGCTCAATTTTCCCATCTCAATCCTTGTGACCTTCCAATTCTTTTGCTGGCTGTACGTTCTTCCACCAGAAGTCAGAAAGTGCAATCTTCAACCAGTTGCCAATATTTTTCTTCGCCATGCAACCGAAACAAACTACTTCCATTGATAGTCCAAACATAAAAATTGCATAGTCTCAATCCAATATTTTCAAGAAGATGACAAAACGAGGAGGAAAAATTAGATACAACCATCTTAGATAAACTAATTGAGAAAGAAAAAACTAGCAGATGCAAAGAATGAGTTCAAAATATCGAAGCAAGCTTCATTCATCGAGGAGAAGCCATAATCCATAATTCGAGGAACATCGAACGCAATCCTGTACAATACGTCAACTTGAAATATTCCATATAGAACATATGCTATCATTGATATTTGTAGAATAATTCTTCAATGAGAATTAACTTAAATAGTCACACGCTAAAGAAAAATTAACCGACAGATGTGTATATTATAAATAATTAGTGTATAATATATGTATATATGCTAGTACCTGTGAATATTTTTGGTTGAGCTAAAAACTGTGATTCATTTGCACTTGTTACAATAATACTGTATTCGAAAATTGCAGAACTGATTCAATATAGGTCTTGCGTTCTGTGCTTACTCTATAATAACTTCCTAATATATCATGGTTGTAAGTACTGCTAAATGAAAATATAAAAAAAAATACTTCTACTTAAAGCAATATAAAGCAAGTACCTTAAGTCTTACACAAATAACCAAAAAGATAGTTTAATACCACATTCATCTATAATTATCTCAACTAAAATACTGAAAATGGTATAAAGTAAGAATTATGTGATTAATTATTGGTAACCAGCGGACAACAAATGGTTAAAGAAATTTACTTATCATGAATAAAAACTGTAATAATTATTTGAATTACATATTGTATACTATCCAATAAAAATAATTTTAGGGGCCTTGAAATTTTGGCTAGGGGTGGAGCCGTCCTTGCTAAGATGCAGCAAAAATTAGTATCAGACCAACAGCAACAGCGACAAAATGATATTAGCCGTTCTCTGCTCTGTCATAAGCATTGGACTTGTGCTTTGGTGAAAACGAAAAGCCAACAGGAACCTTGCCTAGTAACATTTCGGATATCCTTATCTGCAGAGGGAATGTATATATAGCATGTTAAATTGAAAGAATAATGTGTTTTACACACCTAACAATTTGCTATCTACGAACAGTAAATTACGTACCCAGTCTGCAGCAGAATCAGAGGCCATTAGTGTCTCGAGGTCATCCCTACCGTAGTATGAGGGTGGTCGCCAATTTATTCTTTGTGGGATAATGTCTAACAGGCCAACTGGAACATACCGACATGTGTAACTAAGCCACTCCAACAAAAAGTGTCTGGTCGTCTCCACTCCTGTGCTCATTTAGGGCAAACATCAGGTATGTCCAATCATAACATTAATTTTCTTCAAGATCTTTCCAATAGAAGAATATCGCAAAGAAAGCAAATTGCCAGCAAATGAGAATAAAATAGAGAGAGAAACCCCATTTTTTCAAGACAAATATGGAAAGCTTCTACTAACATACTCGTAGATCCTACCAATTACGCCTTTACAGAGATTCAAGAAAACCTCGGTGACTGAACCACCATAGAATGTACAGGATACATAAGTCATTGCTAGTGTAAAATGGATAATGAAGAAAATAAGAAGACATCATTGTTCACATATACAATGGTCTAATCTAATGAGGAACTTTCCTAATATATTGAAAAGTCCACCTGACAGAAGCATACTATATTCTTAAGGATATAGACAGTGAACAGTATCCATTGCATTTATTCTGCTATGAAAGGCCAGTTATAGAGCACAGTTTAGAAGCCTGCACATGCGTGCAACTCTTTGCATGGACATAGTTATTCCCAAGCTATCTCAATTTCTTATATATCTGATGAAAGAACCAAACATGATCATGAGATGAAGATTTGGAGATGTAAAGGTTAAGGCACTCAGTTTAGAGTAAACATGGATGCAAATATAAGTATATAACATGATAGCTCATCTTTAAGGCATGCTTCCAATTGGTTGCAGCAATTAATATCTTGGTAGATTTACCAGACAAACTTCTTACTGATCCATAACATTTACGAACATAACTATATACCTTTTGAATCAGAACCCCAGTGTTCAAGGCCAAATCGTGCATAATCCTTCAAGATATCTAGCCGCTCCCCAGATGTAATGTCCCAGTGCCTCTGTTCCTTGATTTCAGTAAATATCCACGGCTGCAAAAATAGGAAGTGCTGCTTAGTGCAGATAGACCCTCAGAGGCACAAATAGAATGAACATGCAACCGTAACAAGTTTACACAACGGAAATAGAAGATCTTACTACAAACCTTTATCAATGCACCTCGGGCGATCATACATGTGGAAAGCTCAGGGGAGTCAGTTTTGTGCTTGTTCCAGTCTAAATAAGAAAATACATCACCGTTTCCAAGGACTTGTAAAGACTTGGGGGCCCTTTGTACACATTGGTAGATGTAATCCCAGTCAGCAAGTTTACTATAGCGCTGTTGACGTGATCTACCATGTATGGTAACTGCAGTTGCACCCCAATTACCAATATCTGCTATGAGAGAATCAATGCGATTCTTCCCCTCAAAATAAGCAGTTCTTACCTAAAGCAGGAAAAAGTTGCATTGTCAAGCATCTCTGCACATCTCTTTAAGAACCACGGGCACGTGGGAACCAGATCTTTGAACAAGACAAACACAGAAAAGCAATAATCTACTCTAGGGTGGGAACTGGGAATTGTATCATAATGTCAAATACCTACGCCGCAAAAGGTTGGTCTCCAATAGTACAAAGCAAAAGGCAAAGCAGATCATCCTACCTTGATAGTTACTGGTATACCAACTGTTGCCGAAGCAGCTTCTACTACACTCTTCATCCGCATTGGTTTTGTAAGAAGAGCTGATCCAGCACCCTTGTTAACTACAATATCAATCGGGCATCCCATGTTAATATCAATGAAATCCACAGTGCATTCTTGTTCAATAAGCTCAACTGTCTTTGTAACAGTGTCTGGATAAGCTCCACAAATCTGAACACCAAACAAATTCTCGGACGAATGCCGTCTCAGCAGTGCCCACTCAGATGCTTGGCCCTACATTAACCATAAGGCGCAAATAATTGATACTTAAGTTCAAGAATGTTACCCAAGCAAATGAAAAGTCTTTTTAGATGGAAAATGGTAAGACAGGGATGAGAGACAAAGATCATTAATTCTCAAAGAAGCCAAAAGTTACATGTCCGTAAACTGAACAAGTTATGTACCCCTGGTACAAAATCATTCCAGGTGGTTCTCTTAACTTGAGGATTAGGCAGGGAAGATGTTGTTATTTATTTCTTATAGAAGGCCAAGTATGACACACCCACATCCAAACCAGTTGCATTTCCACGATATTTTTTTTATAAGGTAAAATTTTATTAAATAAAAAAGGTACCAAGCTGGTACAAATACAATAGGCCAGCAACTAACACAAAACTGATCTCCTAGATATCACGGATCTCCACGAATTTATGTGTCGAAAGTTAACAAAGAAATATATGCAATTTTACCTTCTCAACAAAATATATGCAAATTTTACAATAGCATTTCTAAGCTAGTACTTACAAGTTATGGCATTTCCTCCCCCTAACCATTAAACTATCACCACCACAAAAGCTTTTCACCAGTCTCAATCTCATTCTGATTCTATTTTGAGGAATAAATTTAATGATAACTTATGTTTATCCCATCAACAATTAGCAGTGACTGACCTGCAAAAGATTTGTGCACATTGCCATCTCACCAGATGTTACATCAGCTCCTAGCACCTTGCAAACTCTCCGAAAAGGCAGATTACCAACTGTGGTCAAAGGCGCAAGATAGAGCTTATCTCGAAAATCAATAAGCTTTTTTTCACGGGGGTGCAATTTTAGGCTTTTATCAGAATCTGTAACCGTGTCAGCAGTTGGCTCTGATTTATTCACATCACAATTGCTGTCAAGAACTTCCCCCTGGACACTTGAACCTGTCAAAGTACACAAGATCAGCTACACGAGGTTTCACCTCTCCATAAAACAACCTGAATGCTCGTAAAGGAATAAAGCATCTATTAACCATTGCTAACTTGGGAGGAACAAATTTCATCGATTGATGATTTTGCCTTCTTTAAAGGTCTAATATCATCAGCCAAATTATTTTCATCTACATCATCTTCTGGTGAAATGGAAGGAGTGATCTCCACTTTATTAGAGCAGTCACTAGCAGCTTCATTGCTGTCTGTTTTGGTATCAGTGGCTGGTTCTTTTGGCACAACTTCGTCATTTTCCTCTTTATCAACCAATATTTTATTTTTTGGATGGCCCTGCGGTAAGAAATTCAAATGAACATGAGAAAAAATCCAGAGACAGAAAAACATACAGGTTTGATACTGCTTCCTAATGGTCAAACATCTTGTTCATTAGGCTAAAATTTGAAGCTTGTCTAATAAAGAATCACCTTTTTCCCCTAAAACTGGTACTGACGAATGGAAGAAAAACTGGTGGGAGGCACAAACCTTAAGTCCAAGAAGTTTGAGAGTGGCTTCAGCCTTCGGAAACTTCATTTTGTTTTTCCACAGAAGTTTCTGAGTGTCCTTATTAAAAAAATTTAGTTCAAAACTCTTCCTAGATATCTTCTCAGTTTGAGCTGAAACATCATCTTCGTGGGTCCCTGCAAACCTACAAGCCAATCCATAAGGGCATGGCCCTTCATAAACCAGAAAAGGGCAACTACCCTCTATATCGGCTGGTTTCTGCATTCAAAACAACAGCAAAGATTGTAATTTTACGGAATCACATAACAGCATCATAACGATAACTATGATATTATTTCTTAATTTACCTCAGCTTTAAAAGCTTCCAAGTCATGACTAAATCGACATTTGTCACTATAAGGGCACGCACTAACTTTTCCAGTTTTGGCANACTTTACAGTTTTTATTTTATAACACGTTAACAGCACGAGACTCTGCCATTAATATTTACTTTCAAAAAAAAAAGAGAGAGAGAGAGAGAAGGATCTAAAGATATGGGGAAAGAAGAAAAAATCCTACTTATCCTCCTTACAAGACATCGGTTCCCACGGTAAGTAGTACTAAGTTATTGCATATATGAAATTTCCACCATTTTTACGGTGGCTAGAAGGAGTGGTATTCCTTTGGTATCAATGTTTCCTTTTCACACTAGCAAAGTAAGATGATTTCATGATTGGCTGAAACTAAGCAAAGGAATCGTGAATTCTCAATTTTCTTTTGCACTTTCATCTCTTTGCTAACACTAATTATTTGTTTATTTTGAGTAAACAAAAAGTTATAACTACTAATCAGATTATATTGCATCATTAAGAGTCTACACTAAAGGTTAGTATTTTCTTTCTTCATTTTGTCATTTGCTACTAGCTTGATTGATTTCGTTCGGTTTATTTGATCTGAGGAATCTAATTTGTTCATTTGACAATTCATGCCTCAAATTTGTTCCTGAAGAACAAAATTGTGAAAAGGCATCAAATTTGCTCCTGCAGAGCATCGCTTGAACTCGAGCAGAATTCATAAGAAACGTACAACCACTAGAAGTGGTTGAATATTTCATATCTCGTTATAACTAAATTTTGTTAACCATTAAAAGTGGTATATACCTATGACCATCAGAAGTGACTATTTAGGCTTTCGAAGGTTACAATTAAAGATAAGCTAGAGAAAAATTCTCTATATTACATGCACGCCTCGATTTGCTCTTGAAGTAGTAAATATTTTAAAAGAGGTTGAAGCATCATAATTTGATGTGATTAATGCGCGTTCAGATAATTATGTTCGATTTCCTGAAGGATGAGAATTTTTGATAAATATTAATCCATTTCCTGAAGTGAATGTAACAATATTAATAAAGCTCGTAAATATGAACGCGCTCTTAATGTAAATATATTACAATTGACCTCCAGAAGAGGTAATATGATTGAGAGAATATATACTCAATATTTCGTATTTTAAATTTGCTCCTGAGTAGTAAAACAATTGAATTTTTCTCCTAAAGTAGGAAAATATTATGAAACTATGTCTTTCTGTGCTTAACAAAATAATGAGCTATTCAAAGTTATTTTTGAAGTACATTTTCATTCCCTGGAGTGAATGAAGAAATACCACAACTCACCTCCTGAAGAGCTAGAATAACACAGGATATAAATATTATTTTTGTGGCATAAAGATCATTGCCGCACGTACCTGTTGTACGTAAAACATCTTGGATAATTTTATTAAGTATCATTCTAAGGCAAAAACATCCTTGTAGAATACATTTTGCTATAACCACATTAATATATTATGGTTAGTTATTGAGTTCCCTGGAGGAAATAACAAATCGTATATCTTTCCTTAAAAGGATGCAATGACTATGTGGTTGCCGCATTGATACAAAATATTCAGATTTTAATAGTATTTCTCCTTGAAGGAGACATTTGTCACAAAATTAGTGGTAGAAATATTAAAATTCTTAATTTTCGTCATTTATAAATTTAGAATTGACATTATATTGTTCATTTGATTATGATTTTCTCCCATGACACCAGAAGTGTCTGAGCAATATTTGGTAGTACAAAATTTATCAAAAGCTCCCGAAGAGCTAACTGTTTGTCTAGAAGACACATGACACAAGTAGTTTCTGAATAATATTTGATTGTGGACAATAAAAGAAGGCTCCCGAAGAGCTTATTTATCATTATTGTGGTCAAAATATATGTTATGATAAACCCGAAGTTCACAAATACAAATGACAATCATACTAAGACTACAAATTATTGAAAGATTGAAAATCTTCATGTTTCCACAATCATATGGGGTAAATATGTATGTGAGAAATTACCCGCCTTATTCTTTAATTTGTACTACATCACGTAGCAGTCACAGTAAACCAGAAATTTATGTGAGAAGTTACCCGCCTTATTCTTCAAGTTGTACTACATCATGTAGCGGTCACAGTAAACCAGAATTTTTTACTGAGGCAAAAGTAGCTATAGTAAATCAGAAATTTACTGATACAAAAGTAGCCGCAGTAAATCAAAAGTTTACTGATATAAAAGTTTATGCCATAGTAAACTAGAAGTTTACTAAAAGATAGCACATGCCATAATAAACTGAAAGTTTTTATTTGCGATCTAGTTTAAATATGATGAGCTAATTTAGAATTCTGATAAGCATATATTGAAGAAGTAGAAGATTCTTCAAGAATTTTCTTGTGTTGCTTGTTCTCATAATAATATGATTATACTAGCGAAATTTGGGACTAAGACCCCTAATTCTGAAACATATAAAAGGTGAATATGGGCCAATTCACCTATCATGTGAACCACTTATAGTTGCATATATGAGATGGTTACATGTGCGATTATTGTCAACCTGCATTTTGGTATTTGAAATTGCTTTTCTCAATTAAGAGCATAATTTTTAGATTATGAAATTAAGACAGTTCATCTTGATAACGCTGGTTTAGCATTGAATACCTCCTATTAATGACTAAACTATTGCTTATGAGAACAAAGCTTCATGTGCTGGTCTAAGATTTTCTAAAATGCATACAACAGCACTTGTATGTATCAGACCAACAATATATGATAAGTCTTAGTTTAGGATCAGAAACCAAATATTTTTACTATCTAATAACTTTTGATGTATGGTATATGATTAATTTATCTACCACAATGCACAAAGATAGGTTTTCCAAAGAAGATTGGGGATATAAGTTAGTTTTTCTAACATTTGGGGGATGGAATAAACAGCTAAAAATATGCTATATGAATCGAATTATCATTAATATGATCCTCACTTAGAACATAATTCAAGTCAAATGCCAGAAGCATTTGCTAATCCAAAATTAAATATCATATTTCAGCTGTAAATGCTCCTATTAAAATTAAAGTCCCTGAAGGATAAAGTTTACTGCACGCATGAAGCATAGTAAACCGATCGGTTCCAAAGGTAACAACCCTTGAAAAGAATAGGATAAAATGATCAAAATGATCATAATGAGGAGGAAATAAGCTCTACAAGAGCCCACAACATAACATTTTATGAAACTCCAGAAGAAGTTCAGGTACATGAAAATAAAGAAAGTGATGAGATCTTAACAAGTTATGTCACTTGCGAACCGATACAAAATGATCGTCGACGATATATTTGATACAATATAGTGCACAATATTCTAAAAGATTGTGAGGATCAGACCTGTAGTCCAGACACCTAAAGATGTCATGCCATTTAGATGCAAGTCATAACCTATATGACTCATTTGATCAAATTTATATAAAGATCCCTGAAGGATTTAAAATGCTTGAAGCATATAATTCAAAGTCTCGAGAAATGTACTCAATCAGATTACAAAAATCTTTGTATGATTTAAACAATCAGGGCGCATGTGGTATAATCACCTTACTGAATTGATGAATGAAGGTTATATAAATGATGGTATTTGTCCATGTATTTTTACAAAGAAAATAGCATTAGAGTTTGTTATACTTGTTGTTTATGTTAATGATATAAATCTCATAGGAACTTCAGAAGAGCTCCAAAGGAAAAAATATTGTCTTAGTCTGCTAATTGAATATTTAGCAGACGAGATCTTTATCCATCAATGACTCCGAAGAGCCACGTTTCAGTTGCTAGGCAGCTTGTCTCCATTCTGGTTTTCCAGCTCGTATGAACCTTTCCCAGTGAAAGCTGAAATTCGGTAGGGACCTTCCCACGTTAGACCTAGCTTTCCCGCGTTGAGCTCCCGGGTATTTTGGGTTATTTTCCTCAGAACCAAGTCTTCTACTTTGAAATAACGGAAGTTGGCTCTTCGATTATAATATCGCTCCATTCTCTGCTTTTTGAGCTACCATTCTTAGATGCGCCAAGTCTCTGCGTTCTTCGAGCAGTTCTAAGTTTATTAACATCGCTTCATTATTCGATTCTTCATCTGCACGAAAATATCTCAAAGTGGGCTCACCTACTTCCATCGGTATTAGGGCTTCAGCACCGTACACAAGGGAAAAAGGAGTTTCTCTTATACTCGATTTGGTCGTTGTTCAGTAGGCCCATAGAACTCCAGGCAATTCTTCGGGCCAATTGCCTTTTGTTGCTTCCAACCTTTTCTTGAGGTTTTGAATAATCATTTTGTTTGTTGACTCTGCTTGACCGTTTGCACTTGGATGATAAGGAGAAGATGTGATCCTCTTTATCCTCAAATTTTCGAGAAATATTGTAACTTTTGCACCGATAAATTGCGGCCCATTGTCGCATGCTATCTCTTTTGGTATTCCGAACCTTCAAATTATATTTTCCCACAGGAAATCGACCACTTCGCGTTCTCCAATCTTCTGATAAGGACCTGCCTCCATCCATTTAGAAAAATAGTCAGTCAAAATTAAAAGAAACCTTACCTTTCCAGGAGCCGGTGGTAGCGGTATGACGATGTCCATCCCCCATTTCATGAACGGACATAGGGACAGAACCAAATGTAAGAGTTTTGTTGGTTTGATGTACTAGTGGTGTGTAGCGTTGGCACTTATCACATTCTCGTATGAAGTCTTTGGCGTCTTGTTCCATGCGAGGCCAATAATATCCTACTCGTACCAACTTCAGCACTAAAGAATCTGCGCTCGAGTGATTGCCATAAATCCCTTCATGGACTTCTCTCATGACAGAATTAGCTTATGACGCTCCTAAGCATCGGGTCAGCGGCCTTGGAAGGATTTTCTATACAATTGGCCTTTATTGAAGTTATAACGTGCAGCTTTGGCGCGTAACGCCCGCGATGCTTTGGCGTCTTCGGGCAACTTCCCGTGCTCGAGATAGTTGATCATTTTATTTCTCCAGTCCCAGACCAGACTAGTCGAATTTACCTCATAATAACCATCCGTATCCAGAACTGAGCTCATCAGCTATACTACCATCACGAATTCTGATTCCTTTATTTCGGTCGATGATCCTAAGTTTGCTAATGCATCCGCTTTTGCGTTATCCTCCCTCAGGATGTGAGTAATTTACCACTCCCGGAATCGCGCCAAAAGAGCTTGGCCCTTTACCACGTATTGTTGCATATTGTAACAACCCGACTTGTTGTTTTAAGAATTAACGCCTCGTTCAGTGATTTAAGGTCCCAAGAAACTTTGTAATATGTATTATGACTTGCGTGTGCCGTCGAGTTTGGTTTTTCGGAAGATTCAGAATTAAATTAAAAGAACAATTCTTATTTTAGAAGCTAAAATAAAAAGAGTTGATCGAAGAGTTGACTTTTGAGCAAACGGCTCTGGAATGGAATTTTGATGATGTCAATAACTTCGTATGGTGATTTCGGACTTAGGCGTATGTACGGATTTAGATTTGGAAGTACGTTGGACAATTTGACACATTTTGGCGAAAGTTGGAAAATAGAAGATTTTTAGAAAGTTCGACCGAAGGTTGAATTTTTGATAACGAGGTCGGATTTTGATTCCGAAAATTGAAACATCTCCATTACGTCATTTATGACTTGTATGTAAAATTTGAAGTCATCCGGATTGATTTGATATGTTTCGGCGCAAAATAAAGAAGTTGAAAGATTTGAAAACTCATAATTCGATTCGATGCGCGATTCATAATTTCGGCGTTGTTTGACATGGTTTGAAGCCTCAACTAAGTTTGTATTACATTTTGAGACGTGTTGGTATAGTTGTTTAAGGTCCGGAGGGCCTCGGGTTGTTTTCGGGAGGTTAACGGATCAATTCGGACTTGAAGAAAAGCTGCTGGAATTTCTGGGCAGCAGCTGATGCTTTCGCTTTTGCGGAAGCTTCATCGAAGAAGCGACCTTGCAGAAGCGAGGATTTCGTCGCAGAAGCGACTTGGGCAGAACTGGAGGAAGGTCGCAGATGCGGACAGCCTTCCGCACTTGCGCAAATCGCAGGTGCGATGTTTTCTACGTAGAAGCGACGAGGGAACGCAGAAGCACAGATGTGTGAGCACCTGCGATCATCGAAGAAACAAAAATTTCTCCGCAGGTGCGAGATCTTTGGCTGGGCAGTGATCATCGCAGAAGCACATTTTGTCTCGCAAATGCGAGGCCGCAGATGCGCAATTTGTTCCACAGAAGCGGTTTTGGAAAGAAACATTAAGAAGCAAAAATGGTCATTTTCGCCATTTTCGTTTTGGATTTTTGGAGCTCGGATTTAGGCGGTTCTGGAGGGATTTTTCACAAGATTGGTTGGGGTAAGTGTTCCATATCCTAAAGTGATTATATTTTATGAAGCTATGATTATATTAATCATTTATTTTGGATTTAAATGGAAGAAATCAAGATTTTTGTAAAACTTTTCAAAAATGGAAATTCAAGATTTGGAGGACGAATTGTTATTGAAATTTGATAAAATTGGTATGGTTGAACTCGTATCGGAATATGTGTTCGGATTTTGTGAAAATTCTACCGGGTTCCGAGAGGCGGGTCCCGTGTTGACTTTGGTTGACTTTTTAATGCAAAATTTTAAGTTGGCATTTTATTATCCAGAATTGTTTCCGATGAATTTTAATGAAGTTATACAATTAATTTTGATAGATTTGAGCTATCCGAAGGTCAATTCAAGTAAGAAGGCGATTTTTGAAATCTCGGCCTAACTTCAAAAAGGTAAGTATCTTGCCTAACCTGTGCGGGAATTTTCCCTAGGCATTGAGTCATATGTGGAAATTATATGATTGAAAACCATGTACGCGAGGTGACGAGTACGTACTTAGTTTATATGTGCAAATTATATCGGTTGAAATTCGTAGACACTCTTATGTATTAAATTGGAAAATTATTGGAACTTAGTAAATCCTTGATTTGTCATGCCCCATTCTTTGTTCTTCGAGTTTGTATTTTATATGATAATTTGGTGTGATTGCCTCTTGGATTTTATGTGAATTTCGTGTGTTTGTTGATTTGATATTTGTTGGAAATAATTACATTATGGATTTTTCATATGTAAATAATTAATTAAATAAGTTTAAATTGAGGCGTTAATATATTTATCAAAAAATTGGATTAAACAATAGGTTGTTTTTGCAGAGTTATTTTTCTATCTTTGTTGTTACTTTTGAGATTTTACACACATTGTGTGAAGCCTTGGGTTATTTGCTGTGAAATTAATTGATTTCGTTGTACCTTTGGAAAGGTTGTGGACTACAAGAAATTTGTAAATGCAAGTAATTATGTGGTGTTGTTGTGATAATTTTTTGTGTAAATTGTTGTGTGATTTGGGTTACAGTTATGTGGTGTATAAGGGTGGCATTTCATTATTGATATCATGTGGGCATAAGGGTGGCATTTCACTGTTGTATGTGTGCTGGAACATTGTCTGGGCGGAGCGATAAGGGAGGCTATTATAGGAGTGATAAGGGTGGCTATAGAAGCGATAAGGGTGGTTGTTGATATTGTCATGGCGGAGGGATAAAGGTGGCTATTATTATGGAGTGATACGGGTGGCTATTATACTCCACCGAGGTTAGTCTTGATACTTACTGGGTACCGACTGTGGTGTACTCATACTACACTTCTGCAGATTTTTGTGCAGAGCCAGGTATTGGAGATATCGGACTCGGGCAGAGTTAGTGTGTTGATCGCAGGGATTCAAGGTAGAGTTGTTTGGTCGTTGCAGTCCCTTGGAGTCTTTCTATTTTATTGTATTGTCGACTCTTATTCGAATAATATTGTATATTCGATCCTTGAGATCATTACATGTATCCAGTTAGAGTTCGTGATTCAGTATTACCAGTCTTGGGAGGTTGTTTGAATATTTCCGCCGTGGGTTTCGATTATCTATAAAAAAAAAACTTGAATTGTTATTATAATCGGCTTACCTAGTGTTAAATATTAAGTGCCATCACGATGCCTGTGGTGGGATTTTGGGTCGTGACAAGTTGGTATTAGAGCTCTAGGTTCATAGGTTCTACGAGTCACGAACGAGTTTAGTAGAGCCTTGCGGATCGGTACAGAGATGTCTGTACTTATCTTCGAGAGGCTACAAAACTGTTATGAAATTTCCACTTCTTTCATTCCTGTCGTGCGAGATTTGTTGAATTTGGAATTTGAGCCTTTGTATCTATATTCTCTCACAGATGGTGAGGACACGTGCTACCGGGTCAGCTGATCAGACACCCGCACATACTGCTAGGGCCGCAAGAGGCCGGGGTCGAGGTAGAGGCCGAGGTAGAGGCCGAGGAAATGAATGTGTCACAGCTAGAACATCGGTTAGAGAGGCGGTTGAGAAGCCGTCGGTTGCTCCAGTTGGGGGACAGGTACCAGAGACACATGTTGTAACCCCCGAACTTCATGAGACTTTAGCACAGTTCCTAAACATGTTTGGTACATTGACTCAGACTGGATTGATCTCCGTTTCACCAAATATTTCACAGATTAGGGGAGGAGTTCAGACTCCTACCGCCCGTACTCCAGAGTAGCAGATTCACATTGGTCACGTTCCGGGTATAGTACCGGTATAACATGTTATTCCGGTTCCGTCTGAGTCAGGCCAGAGGTATCAGAAGAAGAACAAAAGAGACTTGAGAGATTTAAGAGGTATAGTCCACCTACATTTAGTGGCATAGCTACCGATGATCCCCAGGGATTTCTAGAAAAGTGCCACCGTATTCTCCGCACCATGGGTATTGTGGAAGTGAGCGGAGTTACCATTACTACATTTTAGTTATCAGGAGCAGCATATCGATGGTGTCAAGCTTATGAAGAGGGCAGACCAGCCGATGTAGCACCACCAACTTGGGCCCATTTTTCGGAAATATTTTTGAAAGAGTTTGTTCCCTAAACTCTCCGGGATGCATGACGCACAAAGTTTGAAGGGTTATGTTAGGGCACCATGACGATGTCAGAATATTCTATCAAGTTCAGTGAGTTAGCCCGACATACACCTATCTTGGTTCCTACAGTTAGAGAGCGAGTTCGCAGATTCATTGAAGGCTTGATTATGATTTTAAAATAAGCGTGGCTCGAGAATTGCAGACTGACATTCCATTTCAGCAAGTAGTAGAGATTGTCAGGATGTTAGAACGTGTTCGAAGTGAGGAAAATGAGTCTAAAGAGACCAAAAGGTCTTAGAACTCTAGAGGATTCAGTGGATTCTACTCTGTAGCTATGACTCATTATGGCGGAGGCTCTGGCAGTCGGTCAGCCCAGTCCGCAATTCAGAGTACTCTTAGTGCTCCAGTTAATACTTTTAGTGCACCACCAGCATGAGGTTCTTACAGTGGTTATTCAAGTTATCCGGGACAAACTCAATACAAGTAGCCGCAACCTCAGAGGGGTTGTTATGAGTGTGGTGATACCAGGCACATCATGAGAGATTATCCCAGACTTGGGAGAGGCGAATTTCATCAAAACACTCAGGGTACATGCTTTATTCCAGTTAATACTCCACGTGCACAGCCAGTTAGGGGTGGAGGATAGGCGGGTAGAGGGCGCCCAAGAGGGGGAGGCCCGTCCCGTTGATATAATTGCTATGAATTGGCTGAGGCCGATACACCAGATGGTGTCGTTACATGTATGAATTAATTTATAATAAAATGAGCACTATTCGTATCATGATTCGATTATCGAGGTAGGAACTCCTTTCATGCTCCTTATATGGTAGATTTGTGAATTTGTACTCCACTTCCGTGTTTATCTCTGTTGGGAGACT